ATCCATGTTTGTTACAGTCGAACGTCATTGTTCAAAACAGTCTTATTAAACGTGGTGTAAATTTCTGGAACAATCTGTGTGAATCTATAAAAAAAAAAAAACCATCACAGGCTCTTTTTTGTCAAAAAAACCTACAAAAATAAAAATAAAACAAAATTAATCCTGATGCATATTAATATTAACTGTAATGTTTAATTTATTTCGTATTTATTACATTTCTTTTCCCAGGGTATTACTTGGTAAAGAAAGTTACGTTATGTCTTAGTACCTGCATTCACACTCATATGCTGGTGTAGTCCTTTGTCCTGTCTGTCCCTAGGTTAGGGTACAAAAGCCTTTTTGCTTCACCCAAACCTAAATGTTGTCCTTTGTGTAATATTTTGATATTAAATGTGTACTATTTGATATTAAACATAACCTGTAATATTGTATTTCAACTTATTGTAAATCTTTGAAAATCAATATAAAATTGCTACAGATTTGATTTTGTTTTTATGGCAATGGATACAATATTGCAGGGTCTTCATTTTTGGTATTAAGTGCAAAATCATGTGACCTTTCCTTCCGGTCGAAACCGGAAGTGTGAGTGTTTGCCTAGGCAGAACTGTACAAAAATGTTACAGGTGACGTCATCAAATGTTAGAGGGCCCTCTGGCGGCATGATGAATAAGTCAAACATGGATTTAAACATGCATTGATGTGTGTGGCAAAGTTATCCATGGCCCAACACTGTGTGGTTGTTCCTACAACCTCTAGTTGTGACTGATTTTATTAACTGTTTAGCGTTAAAATAGCCGCAACTAGAACTGTTTTCGTCCAAGTGTCTTTCCTTTAAGAAATTAAGCTTAAGACCTTATAAGCCCACTTGTTTGTCATGTTGATTATGAAATTGAATTATTTTTAATCCACAGACAATGATTTTGTACTACTTGGTACTTGTACTTGGTACTTGGTTGGTTTCCTCCTGAAACATCCTCTAGGGATCTTGACTAGGAGGTCACGGGGAAGTGTCGGCACCTAGGTCGCGGTCATGATGTGGTTGTAGTAGTTGTCCCTAAAGGTCTTGTGCGTCAAAGAGTCAGTGATGTGTTGGGGCAGGCCATTCCATAATTTAATTGTCCTTGGGAAAAAATGAGTTCTTGAATACAGTTGAGGATGTTTGCACTATGTTAAATTGGTTGTTGTTCCCCCTCCTGGATCTCTGTGTTTTTGGTTGAAGATAGTCTGAAGCATCAATGTCAATGGTGTGAGTGATGATCTTGTAGAGTTGAGTGATCTGGTGGGTTTCCCTTCTATCAGTTAACTTCTCCCATTCAAGAGACGATAACATGTGGGAGACACTGCTCTGTCTGGTGTAATCTCCATGAACGAAGCGTGCAGCTCTGCGCTGAATTTTCTCTATCTCAGACTGATGACTGATTTTATAAGGGTTCCATGCTGCTACACCATATTCTAAGAGTGGCCGGACGAGTGTGAAATATAACCTTTCCTTAACGCTTTTAGAGCTCATGTAGAAATTTCGTTTGATGAAGTTGAGGACTCTCGTAACTCTCGCCTTGGTAACGGCATGCTGCGTCTGATTTTCCCATCCCAAGTCGTGTTGGATTTTTATGCCTGGTACGTGGATTCCTTAGTTGCTTCAAGACCCACTCCATCTCATAGGCAGGTTCACCAGGGTTGCGTTTCCGAGAGACTCTCATCGATTTACATTTGCTCGCATTAAATCGCATACCCCACATAGTAGCCCATCCAGTGAGGTAGTCTAGGTCAGCCTGGAACAATTTCTCATCTTCATTGGAGTTGATCTGATGATATATGAGGCAGTCGTCGGAAAATAGCCTGATAATGCCCCTCACAGTAGCCTTGACCAAGGCGTTGGGCTTATCGATTCGCCGATAAAAAAAAAATCGCCGATAATAAAATCCCTAATCAACTTGGCAAGGCATAATTAAGTGCACATATCAATGCCCGTGCGCTGCTAGTGAGAAAGTAACTTGTACCATACAGCAAGGCTATGCTTGTACATGTACGTACGCACGTACACACACGTACTCATACAACAGCCATGCACACACAGCACATGCATGAGCTAGTCTGCGTAACCCAATGCCTTGATGGTTTTAAGTTGACCCAGCAAAACCTATTACGGTAATGAGGTACCACCCCCCGCGTATACTGAATTCTCATTGGTCAGCTAACAAACACGTCGCATCCGCGAAGAAACGCTGCAATGGCGGCCCGTTGCTGTGGGTGAAAGTCGTTCAGTCCCAGTCTGTCCGAAGCAGTACTGAAGGCTCAAACGAATTCTGCAGGTAATGCTGTCATTAGACGATCGTTGCCCACTCAAATGGATTCATTACACGAGCCGAAAAACTCGAATCAATGTCAAATTGTTGAAAAAATTGACGAACATTTCGGTCTCGCTAAAAAAGACGCCATGATGACTAATGCATTATGCATGCCGCGCGACGTCACATGATTCTTGTGAAGCTTACGATTGGTCAGCTTCAAAATGAATTAATCATACTATTGGGAAGGTTGTTTCATGTGATTGGTCCAAGACGAATCTACATAATCATCACGGCATACCCGCATATCCTGAAGCCCGCCCATTTTCGTCCAAAACTGGATGAAAAAGTAAAGAAAGACATTAAACCCGGAAAGTTGCAGACCCAACAAGGCGGTCGTTCGACAGGCCACGCGGCGCGTATATCCCCCACACGTACGTACGTACACCCACACGCAGAACATAGTAGGCCTACATTTACTGCCTTACACCATGCGTACAGTCCGTACTCACGTGTGTGTGCTTGCTGGTTGTGTTAGTACCGAACCGTTCGTACGGACAAGGGTCGGTGGTACACGCACGTAGCCGCGTTGATTGTGGGTGCAGGGCCCGATTATCTCCCTTCGACAAAAAGCCGAGAGACCGCATTGAACAAGGCTACCCTCACAGCTAATTGAATGTCGTTGATGAAAAGGAGGAACAAGTGTGGTCCCAACACAGTCCCCTGTGGCACACCGCTGAGAACTTTATGCCAGCTGGACAATTCACCGATGACAACAACCCTCTGTATCCGGTTGTTTAGGTATGCAGAGATCCAGTTTTTAATCTTTCCACTGATGCCATAATGATCAATCTTCTGAAGGAGTTTCTGGTGTGGTACTGTGTCGAACGCCTTTGAAAAGTCCAACACTGCTACATGTATATCAGTGGTGATACCATTGTTGTGATTACGGGCAAGGTCATTGAAAGTCAAGATGAGTTGACTCTCACATGAACGTCCTCTACGGAAGGCATGCTGATTTTCAGATAGAATTTGATGCTGGTCGAGGTGTTTCATCAATTGACTGTCAACAATATGCTCCAGAAATTTGCAACACACTGAAGTTAGGGACACTGGTCTATAATTAGCTGGATCAGATGTAGCGCCCTTCTTGAACAAAGGGGTTATGTTGGCCTTTTTCCAATCTGCCGGCAGCTCACCTGTGTCTAAAGATTGTTGGAAGATGTGCGCAAGGATGGGGGCGATTTCATCCGCAGCCAGTTTGAGGGCTCTATTTGATATTTGGTCTGGCCCAGCTGCCTTGGAAACGTCCATTGATTTAATCAGTTTCAGAACACCTCCCTCAGTCACTTTTATGTCAGGCATGTCAGGGTAACTACTGTCAGGCAAGCATGGTAACTGCAAGGCTTCCTCTCTAGTAAAGATGCTACTGAATTGATTAGCTAGAGCCTCGGCTTTCTCCTTGTCACCAGTTATGTCAACGTCATTAACCTTGAGGACCTGAACACCAGAATTATTTCTACGTTGTGATTTGATATATTGCCAAAATTTCTTGGGGTCATCAGTAGACGTCATAGCTTCCACATGGGCACGATGAGCTTTACGGAGTGAGGGAATTTATGGAGACGTTTTGTTTTGTTTTTTCAAAATAATTTATCCCTGGATTCCATTTCAATCAGACTCGGTGATCAAATTTAATTTAAATTTTAAAAAAGCAGCTGCAATAATTCAACTCTGTCGTGACGTAAAAAAGAAGAAGAAGAAAGCCTGTCCATGGCGCTACTGCTATGAGCTAATGTGGCAGACACAAAACAAAGCCATGCATCCCAACCGATCCCATACGTACATTTACGTGCCTGCTGGTGCACATGTACGTATTTCATAATTCATGTTTTCCAGTGATGCGCCATGACCTCTGTGGCAAAATGGTGATAAGTGTACCTTCCTCACAGTGTGGTACTGACGCTACCCACATACATTTTGAATGTGGTGCTGGACTCCATTGTCCATTGTTTTTACAAGTCAGCTCCCTGTTTATTTCAAGGTCTTCAAACTAAGTCAGTTATCGTACAGCCAATTGTGTTCTGCCCTACTCAACAAAAAGAAAGAGAATGTCCAACACCACTTTTACAGTATTCCTCTCGATTAATATTTTTTTTCGATGTCTGTTATGAAACACCGTAGTGGCAAATCTTGTTATGAATCTGGTGTTGAATGAGGGGATCACTTGATGGTGGAATGCTGTGCCCAATGTGGCGATAGCTTGATGCTGGTCTCTATCTAGACCCGTGAACGAGGCGTCAATAACAACGCGTTTACGAGTCTAGGCTCTTGCTTTATTGATATATGAGAGTCCAAAATTTTCGGTCTAGCAGTTCTACCTATTTTGTATTCACTTTTATAACAGTACTGCTCCAACAACATGAACTCAGAAACCAGCTCTCCCCTTATACTAGTTGTCAAGATTTTCAACAAAATTATGACAAAAACAATGACATCAGTATCCATTTTTTTCCAAGTTGATGCCGTGAGAATCAATGCAGTTTTAATGTACAATGGTTGAATTTGACATCGTAAAAATGTCAAACAAATATTGAAGTATTTAACCGTTGACTTTCAATAATTTACACCATAAAACCGGAATACTCTTAACAGCTTAAAGCTTTAGTACCTTCCTAATGATTTCTCATGGTTCAATAATTTTCCCATCAGATTTCATCCAAAATGGCTGAACAAGAAGAGATGATGCCAACACAAGATGCTGAGAGACAGGGGCAGGTTGCTGATGGAGACTGTGCAGAGACTCAGGAGCAAGCACTGGCCTTGAGGAGACCAGGCAACCAGGACCAGACAACAGGTGAGCAATAAACCCTGGCTGTAAGCAAACCGTATGCACGTTGATTCCTGGAGACATTTCACTATTGACTTGTTCACGCTTTACAGTTTGTACGGAATTAAAATGCAAAGGAATTGTTTAAGTTAAGAAATGTGTATTGAAGTGCAAGGGGCTATTCACTTTCTTTACTTCTTGACTTCATTGAATTTTTTTTTGCAGGAATTTATTGTAATTGTTTTTTTTAAATGGTTATGATGAGTGCAGTGGTAAGAATAATTCCATCTGTCACCTCATGAAACTATTCTTTATGTTGCACGAATGTGAAACATTCATTATTTGTTTATACAACGCCTGAATAAATCCTTGTCATCTGATTTGTTAGAGCCATCAGAGCCATGTTACAGTGCCACCAATAGTGTGACCATGGAATGGAACTTCTATTTTTGCAGTGTAGCCAGGCCGTGGGTTGGGGTGAATAATCCAATAAGTCATGTGATCAGTGGCCCACCAATCAGATGAGGGGGATTTCTTCAGGCATTGTGTAATGAGAGACATTTTATTCCCGTTTTCCAGACATGATCCCAGTTGCAGCAGTCAATCAATTGCAACAGTCAGTGCAGCAGATATCTGGCTCTGGACACGTACCCATCTTCAACCCAAAAGATTGCACCTTCAATATCTACCAATCAAAAGGTAGAAAACAAATAATTAATGATACACAATCTCTTTTTATGCATCCACTCCTATTTGCTTATTTCTATTTAATACATGATTCAAATAGGTTTCTGATGAAATAGTAAACATTGTTGATATTGTTGATGAGCATAATAAAGCAGGACAAATGTCAAGGTCACTGTTTGTCTGTATACAATGATGTAGTTGCTCCCACCAAGTATTGTAAACTTAATGCAATTTTGTACAGTTTCATCAAAGCAGAGACCTTTTGCTGCTTTACCAACCACTGGCCTCAACTAGAGATGCGTTACTGTAAACTTGTGTAGTAAACTTGCAATTAAGCATTAAACCTCCTAGTGTTCTTCACTTTGGCCAATGGAGTTAGCACCCCAAATTCAAATTCATTCTGTAATCTTCTGTGTGTTTGGATAACACTTCAAATTACAGAGCGGAACCCCCCCCCCCCCCCACACACACACACACACACATATTAAAGCGGGGAAATTGTTTGACCCCCCCCCCCCCACCCGCTTTTTCTTCCCCAAATAAAAATTGTAGCCTACTATGATGATTCTATTGCTCAGAATACATGTAGCTGATTCAAATACTCCAAGCTCAAAAATGATGTTTAAAAGATGATCTTTTTCTCAAATTGGTTTCAGTGGTCAGAAATTGCCTCAGATCACACCACAGAAATTGCTCTTCTATAACTGCATGTCTTCTCAACTGAATCCCCCATTTACATTTAACTCCCCACATTTTCAACCCCAACACTACGCCCTACCCGATCTATGATCAGGTAAATCAGCTTGTTCCCTAATAATGTGCTTGTCTCCTTTTGAGTTCGACAATAAACAATTGCCCTTCTCATTTTCGAATTGATTGAAGATGATGCACATGCATCACACCACTCTGGTCATCCATCAGTTGACATATCAGAGAATCCACCAAGTACATCACAGCAACCGACAACATCACATGTGGCCTCAGGTGCACAAGGTAATTATCAATGAATGTACCAACTCCAAACCAGATGTCAATGTATTCATTCTTTACAGACTAGACTCACACTTGTAATGTGTACGATAGGAATACAATGAATGCTTTGTTTTTTGTTAATGTACAGAATTATTAAAAGCACATCGTCTTTTTGCCTCCAAAGAGTTTGAGAAAGTAAGACTTTTTTCGTGAAAATAAAGTATCATCTGACATTAATAGACCAATCCATTAAGTCCCGTCCCATTGTGTTCTGACCAATCACAGCTGCGACTTACATCTGACATGTGCGCACAAAAGTCTGACATGTGTGCACGCGCGTATGATGCGCACGGCTGTAACATGCAGTGTGGCATTGGAGAGGAGGTCATGTTAATTGCCTACGTGCACAGTAGGCGGGGCTTACTGGATCCAACATGCGTGCAGACGCATATGACGCTCACAGCTGTACCAGGCAGTGTGGCATTGGAGAGGAGCACATATTAATTGCCTACGTGCACAGTGGGTGGGGCTTACTGGATCGGTCTATTGCAGAGCTTTTGTAACACTTGTTGTCTGAGTGATTAAGATTCATGCATCATTGGGCAGGAGGTTATTTCAATCCTGTCACGTTTTTTCCTCCCACACTCACAAAGCAACAAGCTTTTAGTGCTTTAATTTTTGCATACAATGGGCCAATATTTCAGCTCAAAATGGTACTTTCTACAGACAAGGAGCCAATTTATTGCTTGGATGCCACAATGCATTGTATGATTATAGTCAGTCAACTCTATGCTCATTTCAACATTGTAGGATGCAGCGCCCCCAAAAAGATGAAGCTTGACAGTCCAGCCCAAGATGTTGCTGATTGCTGTGAAGATGCCCTGAAGTCACACTACAGGGGGAAAGGTAGCTTTGTTAAAGTGCTTCCATGGGTGGGTGATGACAGGAAACACATTACAGAAATCTACACAAAGTTACAGTTAATACTTGGTAAGTACAAAGTCATGCTTACATCATATGCCGATATATTACAACGTAAGACAAAGGAGGGAGACCTGATCCTAATAGCTGTTTTAACTGGGTTGGCTGGTAGAGGAAAGACCACACTGTTTGACAAAATTGCATATGATTGGGCAGTTGGTTCTAGTCAGGTACTACGGAAGTATAAACTTGTCTTCCTGTTGAAAATGCACGCACTGGAGCAGAGTTCAGATCTTGTTGATGCAGTTTTTGACCAACTCTTGGCTAAAGATGTATGTATTGAAAGAGGTGCCCTGGACATGTTTATCAAGAAGAGTCCTGGAAAAGTCCTTGTTTTACTAGATGGCTTTGATGAGCTCATGACTACCTCCTTGTGTGAATCCTCATTTGGTTCCATCCTGGAGATCCTTAGTGGAAAGATGTTGAGGGGTTGTACTGTACTTGTAAGCACCCGCCCCTCACACTTTCACAGACTTGTATCAGAGGAACTGGTTCAGGAACCATTCACACATGTCGAGGTAATGGGTTTCAGTAGGAAAGATGTCATCGAGTATGTTAATAAATTTCATATTGGTGAACCTGACAAGGCCAAGGGGCTTCTTAACAAGATTAAATCGTCAGGCCTTTTGTCTGACCTAGCTGCAAGTCCAATGCTTCTTCTTTTGATGTGTGTACTATGGCAAGAAGAGTGTACACTCCCAGAAACAATGTCACGTCTGTATCATGATGGATTTTCATATATCTTTCAAAGAAAAGGATTGGACTCACAAGGTAAAGTAGCAAAAGTTGTGATTGAAATTGGCAAGGTTGCGTTGCATGGTCTTCTTTCTCCAGATCAGTCACTCTCTTTCAAAGAAAGTGACTTTGAGCCGAGTGTGCTTGAGCTGGCTCTGAAGGCAGGTATTCTGACCAGACAGAGAGTCCGCAAGAGACTGCAGAGTCACAACAGTGTTCAGTTTTTTCACAAGACATTTCAGGAGTTCTCTGCTGCTGCTTACTTGCAAAACTTGTTAGAAGCAGACCCAGAGGAATTTCACAAGATTTTGAATGAAATCATGTCAAAGGGTGCAAGGAGGTTTGAGTATCTTCTGCGCTTTTGTTGTGGTGACAATGAGGCATGTACATATGAGATTATGAAGGTATTTCAGGTGAGGTATCAGGAGGACTTGTCATTCGAATCAGAGATGGGTCTGTTGGCACTTCATTGTTTCTTTGAAGGTCAATCCAAACGTTTGCCTCCAGAGGAATTCATACATTCATTCATAACAGATGAAATTCACATTCGTGGGCTTAACAGGGATTGTCTGAACTCGGTCATATACTTCGTAAAATGTGTTGCTGAACAGACAAAAGACAGTGGAAATGCTTACCTTTCGAAGGTTCATAAATTGCATGTACACTATTGTACATGGACATGGTTTATTGAGGAGTTAGCTGTTACCATGTGTGCAATGACAAATCTTCATCTTGTAGATTTCAATAGCAATGCAGATATTTCTGCAGATAAGTTGCTCAGGCATCTACCAAACTTAATACATAAATTATATCTTGCTGGTAATAACCTGGGTGGTACAGCAGCATTATGGTGCATGCATTTGAAACAGTTGAAGTCCCTCACAAAGCTGGACTTGAGTTACTGCTCATTGAATGGACAGGACATGAAACATGTTGCTGAGTCACTCGAGGATCTACCCAACTTGGGTGAATTGCGTCTTAATGGTAATGACCTGGGTGGTACAGCAGCATTGTGGTGCATGGAGGTAAAGCAGCTGCAGCACCTTCAGACGCTGTACCTCATGGGCTGTCACCTGACAGAGGAAGACAAAAACCATATTGATGAGTCACTGAGTAACCTGAAGAAGAATGGATTAAGCATTTGGACATAAATTTCACCAATAAAAATCGTGATTTAAATCGCGATTTAAATCATACAATTTTGTTTAAAAACATCACTGATTTAAATCAAATGATTTGTTTTTTAATTCACTGATTTAAATCATTTTGTAACAATCTTATTTTTTGCAAAGTAAATGACTGAGGGTCATTTTAATCATTTAAATCAACTGATTCCACTTACATGTAATTACAAAGAGTAAGATATTGTTAACACATTCAAACACCCCTACTTCATCAGCATCGACTCAACTTACATATTGGTTTTGCATAATACCCAAAATCATTGGTTTTGATTAAAGTCAAGATCTGAGTTTAAAAGTTTTTAAAAGTTTTTCTTCAAAGTTTGAATTTTAAAGGGAAGATACAACATTTGCAAACATCAAAAAATGAAATGATCAAATTATCACGAAATATCTTACTGGATTGTGAGGGAATGACAGTCTAAAGTATCCTGTAAAATCGTTTCTCCTGGTGTGCTGACATTTTCAAGAAAATTTGTATTTTTCCAACGCTGGTCTGCCGAGCAGTGTTGTAGAAAAGTGGCTTTTTTAAAACTCCGCTAACAGTTGTTCCGCATTTTTTTTTACAATGGATTACACACCTGTGAAGGGGTACAAGCCTGCCATACTGATTCGCTGACCTTACAATTCCCCAACGTCTATACATTGCTACGTTTCATCTTAAAGTAAGGTCAGGGAACCAGACTACAAGAACATGATTTGTTTGCTTGGTTTTTCCAGCATCTACAAGCCCAAAACGTGAACAAAATCAGATTAACAATATTTACTATTACATACTAATCCTCCAAATCCATTTATTTCTGAAAATTGTAGCAAAAGCAAATGTTATACATTGCCTTGAAAGACAGCACAGTCACTTTTGCTTTAATCATTCCTAATTGATCTTTTTACAGTAATATTGTGAATCAACTGTGCTGGTGTACATGTAGGCTTACCTGAACCATCTAAAGGTGTATTAAAGTCCCAATTGATAGCATTTATTCCTAACATTTCTCCATAAAACTTTTAGATTAAGTTTTAGCCTGGGGGTTTGGTCGGTATCAAATGAGGGGAATAATGCTGATTGTGATTTTGGTAAGGTATGCACCCCTGTAGTTGGAACATATGTGAAAGCATTGCAGCGGTATGTGGCAGCTTTTTGGGTGCTATCACTTAAACAAAAATTGCGACCAATACATGCTTGTTACCAGGTATAATTAGTCCGGTAACAAGCATATTGGCAGCAATATAATTTTAAGTGATAACACCCAAAAAAACTGCCACCGCTCACACTGCAAAGCTATCACACATTTTCCAACTCTAGATTTGCTTACCTTGCCAAAGATCGCTATGAGCACTGCTCCTTTTGATCATTTGATACCGGTGGCCCAATTTTTTTGACCGACGCTGATAGCCTATCCCTTATGAAAATTCCCCCTAGTCACCACAGTGTGTTATCTGTGTGGTCATAGTGTGCACACTATGATCACACCGAAACCACACTGTGAACACACAGTGAAAATTGCACACTGTGAATTGCCACACAGTGAACACACTGTGAAATCACCGTGGATTGGCCACAGTGTCTGTTCACACCGAGAACACACTGTGAACACACTGTGGTCATTCCACAGTGTGAATTGTCACTCTGTGAACACACTGTGAAATCACCGTGGATTGGCCACAGTGTCTGTTCACACCGAGAACACACTGTGAACACACTGTGGTCATTCCACAGTGTGAATTGTCACTCTGTGAACACACTGTGAAATCACCGTGGATTGGCCACAGTGTCTGTTCACACCGAGAACACACTGTGAACACACTGTGGTCATTCCACAGTGTGAATTGCCACTCTGTGAACACACTGTGAATTCACCGTAGATTGTCCACAGTGTCTGTTCACACCGAGAACACACTGTGAACACACTGTGGTCATTCCACAGTGTGAATTGTCACTCTTTGAACACACTGTGAAATCACCGTGGATTGTCCACAGTGTCTGTTCACACCGAGAACACACTGTGAACACACTGTGGTCATTCCACAGTGTGAATTGCCACTCTGTGAACACACTGTGAAATCGTGGAGTATTTGACCACACAGAAAACACAGCGAGATCACACTGTGTTCACACGGTGACCGTTTCACATTGTGACATCTCCCAGACTATGAAAACTGTGTGAATGATGTGTGATTTGAACATAGTTGGTCCACATAGAAAACACACTGAGATCACACTGTGTTCACACGGTGACCATTTCACATTGTGACCATTTCCAGACTATGAGAACTGTGTGAATGGTGTGTGATTTGAACATAGTTGGTCCACACAGAAAACACACTGAGATCACACTGTGTTCACATGGTGACCATTTCACATTGTGACCATTCCCAGACTATGAAAACTGTGTGAATGATGTGTGATTTGAACATAGTTGGTCCAAATAGAAAACACAATGAGATCACACTGTGTTCACACGGTGACCATTTCACATTGGGACCATTTCCAGACTATGAGAACTGTGTGAATGGTGTGTGATTTGAACATAGTTTCACAGAAAACAGGCGAGATCACACTGTGTTCACACGGTGACCATTTCACATTGTGACCACTCCCTGACTATGAAAACTGTGTGAATGATGTGTGATTTGAACATAATTGGTCCACACACTGTGACAGGTTCACACTGTGAACGGCCACTGTGTGAACTAACTGTGGACTCTTTGTGATTTTGTCACAGTGTTGGTCCACATTTAGAGCACACTGTGAACACACTGTGACAGGTTCAGACTGTGAACCGTCACTGTGTGATAACACTGTGAACTCACCGTGATAATTTCACAGTGCTGGTCCACTGAGAACACTGTGAAAACACTGTGACATTTTCACATTGTAAACCGCCACTGTGCGAACACATGGTGGACTCGCCGTGACTTTAAATTACATTGAAACAAAATTCTATGTTGAGAATTGCTGCTGTCGCACCAGAATCTTTCGATATTTTTTTGAAAAATGTTTATATTTATTTAAAAACATTCTTTGTTTTTAATGCATCTTGAAATTGCGTAACCCTCACGGTTAATTTTTGTCAGTTGTGGAATGTTGTATCGACATACATACATGTTATATTTCGAAGTGCAAACATCGTGTCAGGAAAAATAATAACTTGTTGCCTTTTTACAGAAACATCTATCAAAAGCCCGCGAGTTTGTGTGCATGCATGCCAAAACAGCGACGCTAACCAATCATATGACGCGTAATTTGCAACAGCATCCTAGGTTGTAACGCGCTGGCCAATCAGAGTACGCTCTTTGAATTTACAATCGCGCGCCAGGCCTGACGACCGTTGACCTTGCTTCGCCAACCGCCATGACAGTACTGCTGCATGTGTCATGTGTGTTCCAGCAACGTGCAATCGCCGTCGTTTTACTGAAATATCAGGTAAGATTTTGCCATGAAACTTCGTTGTTATTGTTATGATGTGTCTAAGACAAACCTGGATTTAATTCGCAGCATTTTTCTGATTAATTTCATTCGATTTCTCCGCTAAACGATAGACAAAATATTGACACATGTACACGTACTGTACATGTACACACACAGAATCACGCACGCAGTAGGCTATACATGTATGGGGGGTCAGACAAGACGACCGTTGAGACAACTCGACTCGGGACAAGTCACCCGTTGAGACAACTCGACCGTTGAGACAACTCGACCGTATGTGCGATAAATGGAAAGACAAGTCGACCGTTGAGACATGTCGCCTCGCATGTTTTTGGGCCTAGTTTGGGGGATAGTACCGGGGATTTTGACGGCGGCTGATCGCCGTTTGGGAGTTATGACACATAATAGAGCAGAGCCGATATAGCGCAGCGTGATTGTCCGTGCACATCGTTCGAATTTGCCGGGCCTGTGCGCGCATCTCCGGTCAACTGCGTGGCCGTACCGTGCACGTGCCGTGCACGTTAGCTGTCTCAACGGTCGAGTTGTCCCGAGTCGAGTTGTCTCAACAGCCGACTTGTCCCGAGTCGAGTTGTCTCAACGGTCGACTTGTCTGACATTCTACACATGCACCATACCCAACAGACGGGTGCCTCGAAAGGGTTCGTGTCATTTGAAATGCTGTGGAGTCTGGGTACAGTGCGATAACCATCGCGTATAGTAGTAATAGTATGTACATGTAGCTGTCGTGAATTTGGTGGTTTTATTCCTCCATGCTGAGAGTATCCGGACATAGTACATCATGTACATGTATTTCTCGTCGTTTTTTCTGCAAGTAGCCTACTGCATGTAGCAGTATATTGTGCCTAAAGTAAGTAAAGACTAAAGTTCTTGTTTTTTAATTCTGGAAGCTTAGACATGCATGTTAGAGTCCAGTATGTGGCAAAACAGTTGCGGCAGGGCTATACGCAAGCACATGTTAACTTTTCCTCGACACTTTCCTGACTAGCCCTACATCCAAACATGACCCAAACTTATGGACATTTCTGAGTACTGCTGTAGAAGTATAATTATTTACGTTGTGGCTATCGTTACGGCAGCTGTGACATGACTTTCAACTAGCATGACTGCTAAGTGCTATCGTTACAGAACTGACTGGTTTTCTGCATAATAGCATTCAACGTCCGATCTTGAAGAATATTGGGCATCTGTAAATCTGATGTTCGTTTGCATTGTTTTTTACAAGGCCGTAACAGTAGTAATGATTACAAATAATACATGAAGTATTTGAAAATGGCGTTACAGCTGTCGTAACGATAGCCACTTTGATAATATTATAACAACTTGCGTTTACGTTTGTTTTGTTTGGTTTACCCATGCTTACAGTCTGCCTTTATCTTTTTTTCCTGATGCCTTGATCTTTATCTGTTGTGGATTTGTTTAAACTTGTACCACCATGTTTACATCCTTCTTGTCATGTTTGATCTTGAGAATAAGAGATTTTTTTTTCTCATCCAAGACCAATGGGCTCATGACCAAGTGATTGAAGACAGTTCATCAATGATGGCCAGAGTCAGAGTGGAACCTGAAGACAGCAGGTGACGGGACAAATATGTCTTTTCAATTAAAACAGGTACATATACATGTACATGTATTTAAGTGTGTCAGATTTAAACATTTTTGCAGATTGTTCTGGTTTTAATGTAAATTCTGAACCCCCTAAAAAAAAATTTACTGGTGTAATGTTCGCCTGTAAAATAAATTGTTGCTGTGGCACACACAGGATCTGCCCCTATGTTTCGTGTGAAAAGGAAAAGGACATTAGCAGGCCAGGCACGGCACGCTAAAAGCACTTTTGGAGACAATCGAGTTGAAAGTTTTGTGCTGCCATTTTTTGATTAAAAATCACTTGTAATTGAAATTTTGAAGGATGACATTTGTCGATAATTAGAATAATTTTGGACATTTTTAGGTCAAAATATTACTTATTTGTAAAGACATTTCAAAGTTAATGCTAAAGTCTTTTTACCGGGAACTTCCCATTCCTTAAACGTGCGCTTCAGCTGCATGTGAAATCCTTACGTCCTTTTGCCGGGAACAAAATTGGCCTTGCGTACATCAGTATTACATAAACATCCTTTTGCCGGGCAGTAATATTAAAAATCCTCCTTCCATCCTTTGTTTACTATTAATTACGTCAAATGACGTAGCTCCTCAAGACAATATATATATCAAATGACACATATTCCCAAGCTCTATTGATTATCCGAAACATCTGAATTTGACCTTTGACCCATTTCTTGCCCTTACGACCTTCTTCCAGGCCCCCGACTGGGGATTGTTTTGAATTAATACAAAATAAATTAGAAGTATGTTTGATTTGTCTTTTATAGCGAGTATCCAAGAAACTTCAGAATGGCAAGGTGATGGATGTTGCTTGGTTGCTGATTGTTGCATCTCCTGCCAAGTTTGCGCCAGAAAGGAGACGTGATGGAGGGACACGCCTGGGACCCATTCACCTTCATCTTAAGTCTTACCGTTGTACGGTCATTACTTAAAATACAACAGTATCAAATATTTTAATACACATATCTGAATAATTGATCAATGTTCTCTTCTTGGGTGACTGTTATTTTTCCATAAGTGTTCAACAGGGAAAGGTTCTCAAGTTATGGAAACTCAACTACTGTCTTTAAAGGGAATATACATCATTTGCTTTTGCTGTAATTTTCAGAAATGGATGGAATTGGGGGGTTGGAAATATATAGCAAATATAGATAGGCCTACACTGACTTTTTTTAGGTTTTTGGTTCGAAAATGCTATAAAAACCAAGAAAAACACTCATCTTCCTGTAGTCTGGTTCCCTGACTCCATTTAAGAAGAAACAGAGCAGTTTAAATATATTGGGGAATTGTAAGGTCAGGGAACCAGACTAGCTGGCTTGTACCCGTTCATAGGTGTGTAATCGATTGCAAACAAGTGCGTTGGTCAACTGGGGCCGGTATTTGAAAAAAAAAACCAGTTTTTTTCCAACGCTGATCGGCCGATCAGCGTTGGAAATTGATACAAAAATACCACTTTTCTTGAAAATGACAGTATACCAGGTGCCATGATTTTACAGGATGCTTTGCACTGTCATTCACTAACAGTCCAGCAAGGTATTTCAAAATGATTCGGTAGTTTTATTTTTTGATGTTTGCAAATGTTGTATTTTCCCTTTAAGGTGGAATGGACCATTTTCCTTTACATGTTTGAAATGTTTCATTTGAAGCAACAGAAGTGCTTACGAATCTAAAGATTGGAACTTAAAATCAATCTCATAAAGTTTTAGTTCAGTGAATGCTTTATTTAGGGGAGAACACATTTTCTTGATCTTGATTTAGTCAAAGTTTGTTAATGCATGAGTGCCTAATTCTCGCTCAGCCACCAATCCGATGACTAATGGCAACGAAACTAATGTTTTGCAAATGCAACCCCAAAACAAGTTTGGGTCGGGTCAGGTTGTTCATTTCAGTAGGGTCGGTGATGGTTTTGCATTTGCGATTTTCAGGTCAGTTATTGTACAAAGCCAAAATAATTGGGGGGGAAAAACCCAGAAACAGTTCGGATATTCGCACGGTTCAGTCATTTTATTGCAGAGTCTTTGTGCTGGGTACAACCAACTGTGGTTTATAGTCTATCGTGTGCTGTTAGTATTCACTGTACCTTATGGTTCGTTACAATTATTTATACATGTATTTAAACCAAGTTCAAAATTTTACGCAATAAATATTTCTTTGAAACATGCATAATGGAAACTTTCTGTTGTGAACTGTATTTAATTGTGATCTCTATTATGGTCACCCTGTGCGGACACTGTGATCACTATATGGTCACACTGTGCGCACACTGTGATCACTATATGGTCACACTGTGTGGACACTGTGATCTCTATGTGGTCACACTGTGTGGACACTGTGATCTCTATATGGTCACACTGTGTGGACACTGTGATTGCTATATGGTCACACTGTGCGCACACTGTGATCACTCTATGGTCACACTGTGTGGACACTGTGATCTCTATATGGTCACACTGTGTGGACACTGTGATTGCTATATGGTCACACTGTGCGCACACTGTGATCACTCTATGGTCACACTGTGTGGACACTGTGATCTCTATATGGTCACACTGTGCGGACACTATGATCACTATATGGTCGCACTGTGCGGACACTATGATTACTATATGGTCACACTGTGCGGACACTGTGATCACTATATGGTCACACTGTGTGGACACTGTGATCACTATATGGTCACACTGTGCGGACACTGTGATCACTATATGGTCACACTGTGCGGACACTATGATTACTATTTGGTCACACTGTGTGGACACTGTGATCACTATATGGTCACACTGTGCGCACACTATGATTACTATTTGGTCACACTGTGTGGACACTGTGATCACTATATGGTCACACTGTGCGCACACTATGATTACTATATGGTCACACTGTGCGGACACTGTGATCACTATATGGTCACACTGTGTGGACACTGTGATCACTATATGGTCACACTGTGCGGACACTGTGAACACTATATGGTCACACTGTGCAGACACTGTGATCACCATATGGTCACACTGTGTGTACACTATGATCTCTATATGGTCACACTGTGCAGACACTGTGATCACTATATGGTCACTCTGTGTGGACACTATGATCTCTATATGGTCACACTGTGCGGACACTGTGATCACTATATGGTCACTCTGTGTGGACACTGTGATCACTATATGGTCACACTGTGCAGACACTGTGATCACTAAATGGTCACACTGTGTGTACACTATGATCACTATATGGTCACACTGTGTGGACACTGTGATCTCTATATGGTCACACTGTGCGGACGCTGTGATCACTATATGGTCGCACTGTGCAGGCACTGTGATCTCTAAATTGTCACACAGTGTGGACACTGTGATCTCTATATGTTCACATAGTGTGCACACAGTGTGAACACTATGAACTCTATATGTTCACATAGTGTGCACACATTGTGAACACTGTGATCTCTATATGCGCACACTGTGAAAACTATGTGTTCACACTGTCATGACACTATGAATTTGTTCCAAATTCACAGTGTCGCACACAGAGAACACAGTGTGATCACAGTGTGACCACTGAGTGGCATACACCATATGTACACTATGTGAACACACTGTGTTCACACAGTCATGACACTATGAATTTGTTCCAAATTCACAGTGTCACACACAGAGAACACAGTGTGATCACAGTGTGACCATACAGTGTATACACCGTATGGACACTATGTGAACACACTGTTCACACAGAAGTTCCACACTGTGGTGACTGGGGGGAATTTTCATAAGGGATTACATGTATATAATACCTTTTAAAGGTGCAAGGCCTGATTTCTGTTCTCCACCTTGTATAAAGGACCTTCAATCAAACACTATATTAGTTACACAAGGATCAGTGCTGCCAGTTTTGAAATAAAAAAAAACATTTTTATGAAATAAACATGCAAATGAAGAACTGTTCTCATACAGGGTGAGTCAACAAAATCCCAACCCAAAACCTCAAAAATATATTTCATATTCAAAAACATATGTAGCACCAACAATAATGATGACTGGAAAGCCAATTTCATAAGCTACTTTTAGATGAAAAAAAATACTGAAATTGCTCAATCCGTTCAAAGAATATCACCATTTAAACACAATGACCCTAAAACCTCTTTCGTCCAAAAATGTGATTTCAAGAATCGTCGTCACAATGGTCTTCAAATATCACCAGCGATAAAACCTCAGTTTTAAAGTTAAAAATATTCTTTTTATTGGATTTTGTAAATCATATTGTCACAGAACTATTTCCTCAGTGACATACTGTGGCTCCTTCAATAGAACCATTTAGAAATTCTCAAAGATCTTCCTATTAAAGCTGCACATTGACAGTTAAAGACGTGAAGCATAGACACTGTAGGCGTGGCACTGATGGGTATGTAGGACTTCTGCCTAAATTGGTCAGATTGCTGAATCCTTTCTTCATTATACACAAGACATGGTGACTCAGCAACATCATGCAAGTCCAGTACACTTCTATCAGTCAACTGTGTTATCTGTGTTGTCACCCATTACAAAGCTGGAAAGGTTAATATCTGGTTGTAAGATTCTGTTCAGCAATCTGCGATTGTTGTCTTGTGAAGCTGTCTGTATTATTTGTGAAGGCTTGTTTTCTTTCACGTCTGAGTGGTTTCTACACTTTCTGTTTCCCTTCTTGGGGGGAGGGGGACTGGAGTTCCAACCATCTACCACCCTCTGACTTAACACATTCTGTTATAAAGTCACCAGCTGTGAGGGGATCTTTCATTGTCATTTTCATTTGAGTGTTTATTACACTTTGTGTTTTCCTTGGGAAAGCGAGTCCCGTTGTCATGTTTATGATGATTTGTGTTTCCCAGGAGGAGTGAGTCCCAGTCATCTACCACCCTCTGTCTGACCACATTCTGCCTATCAGCTGTGAGTGTATCTTTCCTTGAACATGCCTCTGTCTATCTCTGCTGGTTTGTGTTTCCCTGGGGGAGTGAGTCCCAGTCATCTACCACCCTCTGACTGACCACATTCTGCCTATCAGCTGTGAGGGGATCTTTCCTTGAACATGCCTCTGTCTATCTCTGCTGGTTTGTGTTTCCCCTGGGGGAGTGAGTCCCAGTCATCTACCACCCTCTGTCTGAACACATTCTGCCTATCAGCTCCACATGTGTCTCTCTGTTTCTGCTGCTGTGTTTCTTTCCTGTACTGCCTTTAATACATTTGAAGATCTTGCACTGACTCCAAGCCAATTTCAATCACCCTCATCAACTGAAAGTCAACATTCCTTTGTCCCCTTAATGTCTCCCCGGCCCATACAGAAAGTCCCTTGGCCTTGTCAGGTTTGAACCCTTAGCTGCATCAACTGACTTGAACTGTCTGCTCAGATTAATCATTACAGTCAAATTTGGACCTTCCCACATTGATGGGGAAATATTCAGCACAAAGTGCTGGTTAGTGGTGACATTTTGTGAGTCTCATTGTCAAGTTCTGTGACAACACTTCTAAAGATCTGCCCAAGCAAAAGATTTCTGTATTGGATAGTTTAACTGCACCTTGCACATTGTACCAAGGGACACGGCGAACAATGTAGAAATTTGTTCAAATGCTAGTTACCCAGGATCGTTTCAGAGAGGGAGATATTTGCAAGAACTATCTTTAGTCTGAATAATGAGGATCCTAATCTCTGTATTCCAGTAACTTGACTGTGACAGATGTAACAGTTACATGTAATTACATGTAGTGTGGTCATTACTCTACGGTATGATGATTGGGGATAACATGTACATGCAGAAATACAACCAGCCATTCTCATTAATTGTAATTATTGTACATTACATGATGAATTGTTTGTAAATATGCAGAGGTAATTTATATTTTTATATTTGTGCTATTTTTGTATCAATTGTTAAATGAGTATTGCTGCAAATTGCCTACTGACCTGATTGACCTGCAGTGTACAATCATTTCTGTAAAAATGTCTGAAATACCTGTGTTTGTTAATATTCGTCGTCTGTTTCGCCAATGCACGTTTCTTATGAGTTTTACTGTGCTGAACATTATTTAATAATTTGTAATGAATGCAGGGCCCCAATGGAAGGTTTTTGGGAACAACTGTTTGGGAACACTCTGGGTGTAAAGAAATGGAACAAATAGATACAAGAAATCAAGTGAGATGGCTTGACTTTTCAATCCTAGTAGGGTCTGTCTCAAATGCAAACAAAAATATGTGAATATTTGATATTGCTCATCTGAAGATTGGGCAAAGTGAGCCAGATTGTTCTATTTTTATAACTTCTATTCTGCATTAATATATAGTCTGATGTACATTTTATAACAGCCAACTTGCCTTGCTTTTGTACCAAGTCATAAGAATCATGCAACTTGCCATCATTGGATCCAGTACAACTCAGATTTGTTATCTTTTTAATATCCAGAATCACATATTGCATGATGTACATTGTATAGTGTTTACAATGGGTCAGATGTTTGTTATTTCCAGATGAATGTTGCCTTTATTATGCACTGAATGCCCGCATCATTAGCGTAATGCTGACATAGCAGGCTGACATAGTCTAGTGTGGGTTTTTCTCTTTGTCTTGTGTCACTCACAATCGAGCAAGGCATTTGAGTTTATGATACACAAGGTTTTCAAGCAAATCAATAGAATTCTTTTCTCAGTCATTTTTGGCTGTCAATGTAAATCTCTGACTTTAGAAAAGGCTACACCAAGTTAGGACACACCATACATGTACATTTATGTGAAATTGTCTCATGTAAGTTTTTTCTGTGATTGAAACAGCCAACATGGATTTGATCCAATCTTTCAAAATGAGGATTGCATTGCTGCTTTGTTTTAGTTGTCGCACTTTGAATATTCATAAAGGTTTGAAAACGATAACTCAAAGGATTCTGATGTTTGGCAGTATAATATTGTTTTATTACTAAAGATTGTTTGTTACTTCCTTGCTGCAATACTCAAGAAAGATTTTAGTGGTAATTTTGCTTCATCTCAAAAGACAGTACTGAAACCTCCTCCTTAACTTACTTTGTATTGATAGATAAGTTTCTAGAGAAAGTAAAGCTTCATGCTTAATTCTGGTATGAAGTTATAAAAAAATAAAAATACGTTTTTGTTCTTGCATCATGTATTTTGATTTTTGAACTAAGCTTACATCTTTTAAGTTGCATCTAAAATATATGGGATTGTTGTATGCCGATGTAGATAAATAAAGACGCTTTGTAACTGATTGCTTGTTTGTTAACAGCTGTGTGTTTTGTTGTTGTTTTTGTGTCAAATTCTAAACAGGGCTGGGTGAAACTGTGGGAGCGACAAGTTAAAAGGGGAATTATTTGGTTGAAGAAAAAGATACATTAAAAGTTGCTTGTTGCTGCATACTGCTCAATGTACAGTTTTATTTAATAACCCTCCCCCCTTCCCCTCTTTATTCAATGAGAATTGGGAGGTATAAACATTATTAATATGAACCCATTTTCCTTTCATTTTGCAGGCAAAAAGTTGTAAAGTGATGTAAACGTTGAATGTTTTTTAGGCTTGGTTTGATCAGTTAATAATGTGAGGGAGACAAATTACATATCACCACAATACAGAGGACCCCAAAGCCCTCCTGTTTTGACCCCGCCCAGTTCGAAACCAACTTTTTATGAATACCGCCCTCTATTGCACTGAGGTCAATGACCAACACCAGGAAATAAATCTGACGGCTCATCAAGTGATCAACACTTCTCGGCTCGCTAAAGAATGTTGGTAATTTTGTTCTTTTACCACATTTTACTATATTAGTTATATATTTAAAGTGATAATTATGGTTGGGTATCGGATCGTGACAATTTTGATTCTTTTTAAATATACAATCATTGATTTTTTAGAGGTTTTTCTTGCCAAAAAAAAGGGACCAACTTCCTAGCTGGAGTTACCCAGCCCTGAGTTTTATCATTGGGTTGTCATTTAGGGCTGGAGCTAGTTTTTCTCGTAAACGATAGTATAGTCGTGTTCCCTAACGTGGCGCACTTCGAAGCTTACCCGACTTTCCTCGTGTAGTGTTGCCAAACCTCTTTGTTGACAAACCTCAAATTCATGCAGTAAAACACTAGTACTTTTACCTTATTAATGCTTGCTATTTAACCTCTGTGGACAATTTCAGTTTCATAAAATTTAATCCGAAATTCAAAAACGGTGGCGTCCGGAAATTGGGCACAAATTGGCGGAGTGTTCCCTAACGTGGCGCACTTGAATAAATCTCGGAAAATTCCAATTTAACATTTAAGAATTTCTGTAAACTTGATAAATTCTGATAAACAATTATTATCTCTACTTACCTGCCCAGCCAGATGTTTGTCAGAAAATTATGTTCTTATTTTTCGGGGCGTTTTCAAAGGGTTCACTTTGCACTTGAAAATAAAATCGGAAAACCACGCCAAAATAAATTTTTCTTCTAACTTTGTTACGGGTAAATAAACTCGCGATTTATGAAGAGGAGTGTTTAGAACTTGATGAAATTTCACTTTCTGTGAAATTTCAGTTAAAACTTTTGCTCTAGGTAGGCGCTACAGGCGAAAAATCAAAGTGCGCCACGTTAGGGGCCGCGCCACGTTAGGGTACATCAACAATATAGGCAGGTCCTCCCCAATTTTTTTTGGCAAATGTTCAATTTTGTCCCCGTTACACACTAATTGCAACTGCAACTCACCCCAAACTTGCCTGGAATAACCATTGCACAGGTCCTTGAAGTAAAAAACGATCCACGATGAAGATTCAGCCTACAATTGCAGTGAAAACAGGAGGAATAACCGCTAACCTCACAACCTTGCAGGCTAGCTGGAGTTACCCAGCCCTGAGTTTTATCATTGGGTTGCAGTAAATAATACTGCACTATGAATGCACGATAGCCGGCCAACTCGACGGTTGCCGTTCCAGTACCGCACTGTGATGCGAGTAAACCTCTTATTAATGCATGAAATAGTCATCGGGTATTACGCTTCCGCGTCGCGTCATGCACCGACCGCAAAAACGCCGAGTACCAGCGAGCTGTACGTGCATGGTAATCGGCGACCGTCCTTCATCATAGCATTGATACTGTTAGCACGCAAAGGGAACCAGTGTACCGTGCTGTATGCGCTAATATATAGCTGGCGGTTGACGCAAAAGACCCGTCATCGTGTGCATTTTGATCACGCATGCATCAGAAATGCGGGATTTTTGTCAAGATTTCGCATGTCAAGATGAAATAATGGTGTATGAAACGATTATGTTGTGCATTTTAATGGCTTGTATAATAATTATATTGTGCGTATCGGGGGCTGAAAAATGTGATCGGCATTTTTGTCGGCGTATCGGGCCGCAATTCCAGCGTATCGGGCCGATACGCACGTTTGTACGTGGGGAGAACCCTGGCTTTGTTTGGGAAAGATTTCCATATACGAAGTTCACTCAACACTCTGTGTACAAACCCTATGAGAGCGTACTGAAAAATTCTAAGTGTTTTCCAAGAAAATGCTTGTATTTTCTCACTGCTCAAATTGACTTTGATGACATGAAATTGCTATCTGGGGGCTTGTTAGTCAAAACAGAGGAAAATTAGTGAACTTCGCATATGGTAATCTTGCCTTAGTTTGTAGGATTTTTTTGCTTTAGAAGCATACTCACCCTCTTTATAGGCTCGTCAGAAAGTGCTGCCTTTTTCAGATGTCTAATTTTTGTGAAATTTCATGTTGAAATTTTGATACGCAAATGTGTAAAAATGAATCTGGAAATTTCACGAAAAATATACATCTGAAAAAGGCAGCACTTTCTGACGAGCCTATAAAGAGGGTGAGTATGCTTCTAAAGCAAAAAAACCCTACAAACTAAGCCTAAATGTGAAAATCAAAATTTGGCAAAGTCGACACGATTTTTGTACATGTGGATGTATGGCCTATGTTTACGGAGGCAGTCCAGTAAATAGGCCACATTTATGGGGCTAGAGTAACTCCAGCTGACATGCTCCATATTCAATGAAAATGGAGCATGTCAGCTGGAGTTACTCAAGCTACTGGATCACCACTTTTTTTTCAATTAATTTTCAAGCGCCAAAAGTTGCATCCTTTATGGTTATTCCCTCTACTTTCCCTCCTCTACTCTCACCTTCTCCTTTCCTTTATTCCTATTTATTATTTTGTGCAACTATAACGCGTAAGCCGTAACTTATTATTATTTTGACTTTTGAACCCACCCCGGCACTATCCAAATGCTAGTCAAAACAGCGGCGGACTAGTCAAACTAGCCCGATTGGTGTATCAAAAATGACGGGCTACGGCAAAGATGAAAGGACAAGAAGAAATATATCATCAGTTACATTCAGAAAGCAAATCTGTGTATTTGTGACTGATTTTATTAACTAACTTTTATTATTAGCGTTAAAATAGCCGCAACTAGAACTGTTTTCGTCCAAGTGTCTTTCCTTTAAGAAATTAAGCTTAAGAGTTAAGACCTTATAAGCCCACTTGTTTGTTATGTTCTTTATGAAATTGAATTATTTTTAATCAACAGACAATGATTTTGTGAGGGAATTTATGGAGAAGGTATGTTTTTTTCAAAATAATTTATCCCTGGATTCCATTTCAATCAGACTCGGTGATAAAATTTAATTTAAATTAAAAAAAAGTGGCTGCAATAATTTCAACTCTGTCGTGAAGTAAAAAAGAAGAAGAAGAAAGCCAGTCCATTGCGCTACTGCTATGAGCACGTGTGGCAGACACAAAACAAGGCCATGCATCCCGACCGATCCCATACGTACATTTACGTGCCTGCTGGTGCACATGTACGTATTGCATAATTCATGTTTTCCAGTGATGCGCCATGACCTCTGTGGCAAAATGGTGATAAGTGTACCTTCCTCACAGTGTGGTACTGACGCTACCCACATACATTTTGAATGTGGTGCTGGACTCCATTGTCCATTGTTTTTACAAGTCAGCTCCCTGTTTATTTCAAGGTCTTCAAACTAAGTCAGTTATCGTACAGCCAATTGTGTTCTGCCCTACTCAACAAAAAGAAAGAGAATGTCCAACACCACTTTTACAGTATTCCTCTCGATTAATATTTTTTTTCGATGTCTGTTATGAAACACCGTAGTGGCAAATCTTGTTATGAATCTGGTGTTGAATGAGGGGATCACTTGATGGTGGAATGCTGTGCCCAATGTGGCGATAGCTTGATGCTGGTCTCTATCTAGACCCGTGAACGAGGCGTCAATAACAACGCGTTTACGAGTCTAGGCTCTTGCTTTATTGATATATGAGAGTCCAAAATTTTCGGTCTAGCAGTTCTACCTATTTTGTATTCACTTTTATAACAGTACTGCTCCAACAACATGAACTCAGAAACCAGCTCTCCCCTTATACTAGTTGTCAAGATTTTCAACAAAATTATGACAAAAACAATGACATCAGTATCCATTTTTTTCCAAGTTGATGCCGTGAGAATCAATGCAGTTTTAATGTACAATGGTTGAATTTGACATCGTAAAAATGTCAAACAAACATTGAAGTATTTAACCGTTGACTTTCAATAATTTACACCATAAAACCGGAATACTCTTAACAGCTTAAAGCTTTAGTACCTTCCTAATGATTTCTCATGGTTCAATAATTTTCCCATCAGATTTCATCCAAAATGGCTGAACAAGAAGAGATGATGCCAACACAAGATGCTGAGAGACAGGGGCAGGTTGCTGATGGAGACTGTGCAGAGACTCAGGAGCAAGCACTGGCCTTGAGGAGACCAGGCAACCAGGACCAGACAACAGGTGAGCAATAAACCCTGGCTGTAAGCAAACCGTATGCACGTTGATTCCTGGAGACATTTCACTATTGACTTGTTCACGCTTTACAGTTTGTACGGAATTAAAATGCAAAGGAATTGTTTAAGTTAAGAAATGTGTATTGAAGTGCAAGGGGCTATTCACCTTCTTTACTTCTTGACTTCATTGAATTTTTTTTTGCAGGAATTTATTGTAATTGTTTTTTTTAAATGGTTATGATGAGTGCAGTGGTAAGAATAATTCCATCTGTCACCTCATGAAACTATTCTTTATGTTGCACGAATGTGAAACATTCATTATTTGTTTATACAACGCCTGAATAAATCCTTGTCATCTGATTTGTTAGAGCCATCAGAGCCATGTTACAGTGCCACCAATAGTGTGACCATGGAATGGAACTTCTATTTTTGCAGTGTAGCCAGGCCGTGGGTTGGGGTGAATAATCCAATAAGTCATGTGATCAGTGGCCCACCAATCAGATGAGGGGGATTTCTTCAGGCATTGTGTAATGAGAGACATTTTATTCCCGTTTTCCAGACATGATCCCAGTTGCAGCAGTCAATCAATTGCAACAGTCAGTGCAGCAGATATCTGGCTCTGGACACGTACCCATCTTCAACCCAAAAGATTGCACCATCAATATCTACCAATCAAAAGGTAGAACACTAATAATTAATGATACACAATCTCTTTTTATGCATCCACTCCTATTTGCTTATTTCTATTTAATACATGATTCAAATAGGTTTCTGATGAAATAGTAAACATTGTTGATATTGTTGATGAGCATAATAAAGCAGGACAAATGTCAAGGTCACTGTTTGTCTGTATACAATGATGTAGTTGCTCCCATCGAATATTGTAAACTTAATGCAATTTTAGTTTCATCAAAGCAGAGACCTTGTGTTGCTTTACCAACCATTGGCCTCAACTAGAGATGCGTTACTGCAACAGAATGAAATCACTCTGCTTTTTTTGTGTGTAAAAACATGTAGTAAACTCGCAATTAAGCATTAAACCTCCAAGGGTTCTTCACTTTGGCCAATGGAGTTAGCACCCCCAATTCAAATTCATTCTGTAATCTTCTGTGTGTTTGGATAACACTTCAAATTACACAGCGGTTCCTGTGTGGTGAAGCTCAGGGCAAGCAGGCCTTTTGGTCACGCTTCACTGCTCTCACTGTGTTGTTTTCTCCTGCAGGGACTCTTGGTGTGACACATTTACCTTAACACTTCATGTCCCTTCACTTGAAACTGACCTGCAGGGGTCTAAAGGGTTATACTGCTCTGATTATTTTCTTCCCACTATGAGGGTTAATTCCCTAATAATGTGCTTGTCTCCTTTTGAGTTCGACAATAAACAATTGCCCTTCTCATTTTCGAATTGATTGAAGATGATGCACATGCATCACACCACTCTGGTCATCCATCAGTTGACATATCAGAGAATCCACCAAGTACATCACAGCAACCACCAACACCACATGTGGCCTCAGGTGCACAAGGTAATTATCAATGCATGTACCAACTCCAAACCAGATGTCAATGTATTCATTCTTTACAGACTAGACTCACACTTGTAATGTGTATGATAGGAATACAGTGAATGCTTTGTTTTTTGTTAATGTACAGAATTATTAAAAGCACAGCGTCTTTTTGCCTCCAAAGAGTTTGAGAAAGTAAGACATTTTTTGGTGAAAATAAATTGTCGTCTGACATTATTAGACCAATCCATTAAGTCTCGTCCCATTGTGTTCTGACCAATCACAGCTGTGACTTACGTCTGACATGTGTGCACAAAAGTCTGACGTGTGCACGCGCATATCATGCGTACAGCTGGAACATGCAGTGTGGCATTGGAGAGGAGCAAATGTTTATTGCTTACGTGCACAGTGGGTGGGGCTTACTGGATCCAACATGCATGCAGACGCTTATGACACGCGGCTGTAACATGCAGTTTGGCGTTGGAGAGGAGCACATGTTAATTGCCTACGTGCACAGCGGGCGGGGCTTACTGGATCGGTCTATTGCAGAGCTTTTGCAACACTTCTTGTGTGAGTGATTAAGATTCATGCATCATGCAGTGAGCAAGAGGTTATTTCAATCCTGTCAATATTTATCCTCCCAAGCTTTAACCAACAAGCTTTTAGAGCTTTAACTTTTTGCATACAATGAGCCAATATTTCAGCTCAAAATGGTACTTTCTACAGACAAGGAGCCAATTTATTTCTTGGATGCCACAATGCATTGTATGATTATAGTCAGTCAACTCTATGCTCATTTCAACATTGTAGGATGCAGCGCCCCCAAAAAGATGAAGCTTGACAGTCCAGCCCAAGATGCTGCTGATTGCTGTGAAGATGCCCTGAAGTCATACTACAGGGGAAAAGGTAGCTTTGTTAAGTTGATTCCATGGGTGGGTGATGACAGGAAACACATTACAGAAATCTACACAAAGTTACAGTTAATACTTGGTAAGGACAGAGTCATGCTTACATCATATGACGATATATTACAACATAAGACAAAAGAGGGAGACCCGATCCTAATAGCTGTTTTAACTGGGTTGGCTGGTAGAGGAAAGACCACACTGTTTGACAAAATGGCATATGATTGGGCAGTTGGTTCTAGTCAGATACTACAGAGGTATAAACTTGTCTTCCTGTTGAAAATGCACGCACTGGAGCAGAGTTCAGATCTTGTTGATGCAGTTTTTGACCAACTTTTGGCTAAAGATGTATGTATTGAAAGAGGTACCCTGGACATGTTTAACAAGAACAGTCCTGGAAAAGTCCTTGTTTTACTAGATGGCTTTGATGAGCTCATGACTACCTCCTTGTGTGAATCCTCATTTGGTTCCATCCTGGAGATCCTTAGTGGTAAGGTGTTGAGGGGTTGTACTGTACTTGTAAGCACCCGACCCTCACACTTTGACAGACTTGTATCAGAGGAACTGGTTCAGGACCCATTCACACATGTCGAGGTCATGGGTTTCAGTAGTGAAGATGTCGCCGAGTATGTTAGTAAATTTTACACAGCTGAACCTGTCAAGGCCAAGGGGCTTCTTAAAAAGATAAGATCATCAGGTCTTCTGTCTGCTTTAGCTGCAAGTCCAATGCTTCTTCTTTTGATGTGTGTATTATGGAGAGAAGATTGCACACTCCCAGAAACAATGTCACGTCTGTATCGTAATGGAGTTCTCTACATCTTCAAAAGAAAAACATTGGACTCAAAAGATGAAGTACATGTACAAAAAATTGTGATTGAAATTGGCAAGGTTGCGTTGCATGGTCTTCTTTCTCCAGCTCTGTCACTCTCTTTCAAAGAAAGTGACTTTGAGTCGAGTGTGCTTGAGCTGGCTCTGAAAGCAGGTATTCTGACCAGACAGACAGACCGCAAGGGACTACAGACTCACAACTGTATTCAGTTTATTCACAAGACATTCCAGGAGTTCTCTGCTGCTGCTTACTTGCAAAGCTTGTTAGAAGCAGACCCACAGGAATTTCAGAAGATTTTGAATGACATTGTGTCAAAGGGTGCAAAGAGTTTTGAGTATCTTCTGCGCTTTTGTTGTGGTGACAATGAGGCATGTACATATGAGATTCTGAAGGTATTTCAGGTGAGGTGTCGGGAGGAGTTGTCATTCAAATCAAAGATGGGTCAGTTGGCGCTTTATTGTTTCTTTGAAGGTCAATCCAAACGTTTGCCTCCAGAGGAATTTATACATTCATTCATAACTGATCAAATCTCCACTCAAATGCGTGACAAGGATAGTCTGAACTCAGTCATATACTTTCTGAAATGTGTTGCTGACCAGACAAAGGACAGTGGAAATGCTTACCTTGCTAAAGTAAAGAACTTGGAAGTTCCTTTTTGTGACTGGACACAGTATAGTGAGGAGTTAGCTCTTATCGTGTGTGCAATGACAGATCTTCATGCTGTGAATTTCATGGGTTGCTCATTGACTGATAGCAACATTGCAGATGTTGCTCAGTCACTCATGGACCTACCCAACTTGGGTGAATTGAAACTTTCTGGTAATAACCTGGGTGGTACAGCAGCATTATGGTGCATGCATTTGAAGCACTTGAAGTCCCTCACAAAGCTGAGCTTGCGTAGCTGCTCATTGAATGGACAGGACATCAGACATGTTGCCGAGTCACTCGGGGAACTACCCAACTTGCTTGCACTGAATTTTTCTGGTAATTACGTGGGTGGTACAGCAGTATTATGGTGCATGCATTTAAAACAGTTCAAGTCCCTTACAAAGCTGGGCTTGGATGGCTGCTCATTGAATGGACAGGACATCAAACATGTTGCTGAGTCACTCAGGCATCTACCCAACTTGGTTGAATTATATCTTTCTGGTAATAACCTGGGTGGTACATCAGCATTATGGAGCATGGAGGCAAAGCAGTTGAAATCCCTCACAAAGCTGCGCTTGGGTGAATGCTCATTGAATGGACAGGACATCAAACATGTTGCTGAGTCACTCAGGGATCTACCCAACTTGGCTGAATTGAGTCTTCATCGTAATAACCTGGGTGGTACAGCAGCATTGTGGTGCATGGAGGTAAAGCAGCTGCTGCACCTTCAGACGCTGTGCCTCACGGGCTGTCAGCTGACAAAGGAAGACATGAAACACATTAATGAGTCACTGAGTGACCTGCAGAAGAATGGATTAAAAATTGACATGCTGCCAGTATGGTATTAATTGTTGTGATCAGGAATGCATGTCGTTTTAACTGCCTGTTCATTTATTGCACCATGAACAAAATGCAAATTTTAATGTCCCGGTATGAATAATACGTTTTGCCATATACGTTGGTTTTGAATAAAGTCTGTGGTCAAAGACTAAAAGCATTATCATCTGAAGAGTCTACTGAGCAAAAATGTAATTCACTGGTCACTTATTTTCTTTCGGCAGTTAAAGGGTTGATCTTAAACCTAGAAGCAAAATTGAAAGAGGAGTGATTTGAGTTAACAGAGATTTCCTCAGTGGCATATTGTGGCTCCTTCATTGGAACCGTTCAGAAATTCTCAAACTCTTTTCTGTTGGAAGCTGCACATCACTGCACATTGACAGTTTAAGATGTGAAAGCATAGACACTGTAGATGTGGCACTGATGGGTATCTTAAATTGGTTCGAACACATTCTGCCTATCAGCTGTTAGGTGATCTTACCTTGAACATTGCATCGGTCTATCTCTGCTGGTTTGTGTTTCCCCTGGGGGAGTGAGTCCCAGTCATCTACCACTCTGTGTCTGAACACATTCTGCCTATCAGCTGTGAGTGTATCTTTTATTGAACTTGCCTCTGTCTGTCTCTGCTGGTTTTCTGTTTTCCAGGGGGAGTGAGTTCACCCTCTGTCTGACCACATTGCGCCTATCAGCTCCTCATGTGTCTCTCTGATTCTGCTGCTGTGTTTCTTTCTTGTACTATTTCTCATACATTTGAAGATCTTGTACTGACTCCAAGCCAATTCAATCACCCTCATCAACTGAAAGTCAACATTCCTTTGTCCCCTTAATGTCTCCCGGCCCATACAGAAAGTCCCTTGGCCTTGTCAGGTTTGAACCCTTAGCTGCATCAACTAACTTGAACTGTCTGCTCAGATTAATCATTACAGTCAAATTTGGACCTTCCCTCATTGATGGGGAAATATCCAGCACAAAGTGCTGGTTAGTGGTGACATTTTGTGAGTCTCATTGTCAAATTCTGTGAAAACACTTGTAAAGATCTGCCCAAGCAAATGATTTCTGAATTGGATAGTTTAGGCCAAAAAAAAAAAAGTTTCTGGTTTGGGCGCGCGTCGCCGTAGCCATGCGCGTCGGCAAAATGAAAAAGTTTTTTTTTCAATGAAAGATGATGTCTCAAAACCGCCTAACTCACTGGTTTGACTGGAATTCTGCTACTGCACAATTTTAACGTGTTTTTAGATGGGGTTATGATCGAGAATAAGCTTTATGTGGCCTCTCTGGACTCCCATATATTTGCACTAAGTTTAGTCGGGCACCATTTGCAGTCATCAGCCGACATTTGAAGCAAAAAAGTCAGGTAAATAAAAAAAAAAGCCGCGTCGCCGCACCACTTTTTGGACAAGCTCCATACCAGAAACCGGAGACTTATTTTTTTTGGCCTTAACTGCACTTTGCACAGTGTACCAAGGGGCACTACTGACAATGTTGGAATTTGTTTAAATGCTAGTTACCCAGGATATTTTTAGAGAGGGAGATATTTGCAAGAACTATATGTAGTCTGTGAATAATGAGGATCCTTATCTCTGTATTCCAGTAACTTGACTGTGAAATGTAACAGTTGTGAGTCTCATTGTCAAGTTCTGTGTAGTGTGGTCATTACTCTGCGGTATGATTTGGGATTACACATACAACTTGCCAATCTCATTAACTGTAATAATTGTATACTATATGATAAATTGTAAATATGCGAATGCAATTGAGATTTGTTTATTTTGTTTCAGTTGTTAAATGAATATATAATATTGCTGGAGATTGCTTACTGACTGAATGGATATACAAATCACTAAATTTCTGTAATGTTTTTGAAATACTTATATTTGACAGAATGAATGATCGTCGTCTGTTTCACCAATGCACTTTTCCTGACGATATTTACTTAACATGATTAATAGTTGGTAAATGTAAAAACAAAGTTAGGAAACCAGTTTTTAACTGTTTGGAATACCCTGGGTAAAGAAATGCAATAAATAAATAAATAAAAGAAGTAAAGTTAGATGGCCTGATTTTTCAATCCTAGCAGGGTCTTGAATCTCAAATGCAAACAAAAATATTGTAGCGGTATTGCAGCTTGGACGACTGCTCCGGCCAATATCGGTGAACAGTCTAGCCTCTACAGTCCGGATCACAGATCTGTTTTGGCGGAAGTCTACTGCCAGGCCCAAAGCACACCACCAAAAGAACACCTCACACACTCGCTGTGACACCACCAATGCGGACTGACCAGGGGAACTGGGGAAGGATGGGGACCTCTGACACCAGATCTATGATTCTGAAGGTTATATATATTCGCCTCAGGCTACTCAGCTGTATTCCAACTATTGATTCGGGAATTATAAGAGTGAATTGACTACGTTAACCTAACCCACACAAAGTATGAGGCTCCCCCAAAGTGACTCGGTTAGATAATGATTGACATGATTTGATTGATTAGGGACTCGGCGTGGCAAGGGTTACCCACCACACACACTGGTATAAAGACTCCCTCTCTATACAGCAGCCACCGTGGAAAAGAGAACGATGCTTAGCTTGCGGCGGCTTTTATAGGCGCGCACTGTGAGCTGGTGCCACACCCTGTGCGATAGCACGCGCATACCGTTGGCTACCAGCAAGGGACTGAGGTGCGCCCTTACTGCCTCACTAAAATGAATTGCGCTACAATATGTATCTCCCTCTGCCCCACCCCCTAACCCCTTTGATCTTGACCTACTGCCACACTCCTTCGGTCCTTCCAGCCCCCTACCCCATCCTCCTCTGTGTTCTCCTTCCACCCCTGCATGCTTGTGTGCCCCCTGTACCACTGTCATTTTTGCCTTGCTGTGTGAAAGATCCTGCCAGAATCTGAAATGTTAGGCTTTCTAAATTGTTTTCAAACGGTTGTATCCAATGGAATTCAATAACCCAATTACATTAAATGTCTGAAATTGCTTTGGCTTTGTAAATCAAACCATAAGTATTATCGCTAAAATTGTAATAATTGTAAATACTGCAAAAATATTTGTTCATCTGAAGATTGGGCAAAGTGAGTCATATTTGTCAATTTCTATAACTTCTATTTTGTATCAGTGTATCAAATCATAAAAATCATGAAACTTGCATGATGTACATTGTATAGTGTTTACAATGGGTCAGATGTTTGTTATTTCCAGATGAATGTTGCCTATATTATGCACTGAATGCCCGCATCATTAGCGTAATGCTGACATAGCAGGCTGACATAGTCTTGTGTTGGTTTTTCTCTTTGTCTTGTGTCACACACAATGAATTATAAGCATGGCGTTTGAGTTAATGATATACTTGCCTTGCTTTTGTTAGAAGTCATAAGAATCATGAAACTTGCCATCATTGGATCCAGTACAACTCAGATTTGTTATCTTTTTAATATCCAGAATCACATATTGCATGATGTACATTGTATAGTGTTTACAATGGGTCAGATGTTTGTTATTTCCAGATGAATGTTGCCTTTATTATGCACAAATGCCCGCATCATTAGCATAATGCTGACATAGTCTAGTGTGGGTTTTTCTCTCTGTCTTGTGAAAGGGATTTAATGATACACAAGGTTTTCAAGCAAATCAATATAATTCTTTTCTCGGTAATTTGTGGCTGTCAGTGTAAATCTCTGATTTAAAAAAAGGCTTCACCAAGTTAGGACAGGACATACTATGAAATGTTTGTCGTGTGTAAGTTTTCTGTAATTGACACAGTTAACACAGATTTGGACCAATCTACCAAAATGAGGATTGCATTGCTGTTCTGATTTCGAAGTCGCCTTTAAATATATTCAAAGACGACTACGAAAACAAAACAGCAATGCAATCCTCATTTTGGTGTGAGAATGATAACTCAAATGATTCTGATGTTTGACAGTATATTATTATTTTATTACTAAAGATTGTTGTTGCTTTCTTGCTGCAATACTCGAGATAGATTTGTTGGGGTCATTTTCCTTCATCTCAAAAGACAGTACTGAAACTTCCTCCTTAACTAATACCTTGTGTTCATGGATAAGTTTCAAGTGAAAGTTAAGCTTCGCATCATGCTTATTCCTGGTATGAAATTAATGTATTTCGAAGAAAGAAAAATGAGGGGGGGGGGGTTGCATCTTACATTTTATATCTGATGTCACATCTAAAAAATATGAGATTGTTGTATGGCAATATAGTATATAAAGACACTTTTGTAACTGATTGCTTATTGTGGGTTTCTTGTGTTTTTATGTCTACAAATGGCTGCAGGTGAAACTATTGGCGCGACAGGCTAAAAGGGGAATTATTGTTAAAAAAAAGGGAATCAGGAAATGGTTGAAATGTATTAGTTGCATTGCTGCATATTGCTGAATGTGCAGGGTTATTTTAACGTCCCTCATTTTAAGAATTAACATGTACATCAACTGTTGTGAAAATGGGAAGCGGTATAAAACTGCAGACAAGTTTTTCTTTCATTTTCAAATATTTGAAAGCATAAAATGTGCGGGACCAAACATTATAATGTAGTTTGAATTTCATGCAACTTTTATGCAGCTTCCTGACCTGATAATCAGCATCATCACCTGAAAATACTTTCCCTGATGAAAGTAATAAGTAAGGCAGTGGGAAATGTTTCTAGAATCCATCCTTCAAAAGTACAAGACAGTGTGATGAATTCAAGTTCCACTTAAGAAAACATACACTCTTATATTGCTGGTGAAAAGCAAAGTTCCCATCAGAATCAATTGCCCCCATAATGTGTTCCTCCTGAGTGAGCTTCTTTCTGCATTTATAACAGAGATCGTTATTAATATGAGTTGCTGAATAAGTTGCATAAAAACTAGTGTTCAATTTATGACTGTATATAAGGTTGTGCCTAAATTTGACAAGTGTTTTTCGTTTTTCCCCTTCTAAGTATGTTCTTTTTGCCCCTCTATTAGGCTGAAACACCTCTGCTTTTTCTTACCACATTTTGTGATCTTTATTCAGTGAGACCCCTTCCTGAAAGTGGAGCGACCCCATGGACAGGATGGGCCGGGTACCTGGGTGGTCTGGTCCAGCATTATTTTATTGTCTGTTCCTCCATGTGTGCATTCATGCACAATCCATTCCTACTGCCCTAGGCTATAGCCTCCTGATTGTTCCTTTTCACTTTTCATGGTAAGCAATTTTCCTTTATTTTTGGCATAAAATACAGATTGAATTACTCTGATGATTGTTTAGATTAAGCTCACTATTTACAACTTGAGTTTGTTTCTTTTCGACTTGCACAATATTAGTTTTTATTATTCCAGTGTTACTATCATATTTTATATACTACCAAGGTTAGTATAGTACCAATACTAAGGTGCTGTGGCAGACAACTGTCAATTAATTTTTTAACTCCTATTCTCCTGCTGTGCAATTTTTTGCCCAAGTATTTCACATACATGTGTAACCAGGAGATCAGGCTCTCAAGTTTGAGATGGAATATTTTAGATCAGGATCATTACTTGCCAAATATATGAAAATTATCCAAAATTGTAAAAACCATTATGTACTCAATATTGGAACATCTTGATTTAAAGCTCTGGCATCCAAGTTATCTATAAGTTGAAGTGAAGGTAATACATGTAGAACAACATTAAAGGGTGCCAATATGACTGAAATATTTCACAGAAACAATGTATGTAACATGCATGGCTAGGGTTGGTTCAAATCCCTGAAATGTCATACAAAGTCACAACGACAATACATGTACATGAAACCAGACAAAGATTTGTTACTATAGAAAAAACCAGTCGCTGCGCATGTTCAGTTGGGGCCTACAGCCCAGATTTAGAATTTTTTATCACTCAATTTCTGGTAGCAGAGGTTTCATCTATAATTTACATGTAGACATGCCAAGTCCTACTCTTAGGGAATAGCTTGAGTTATGATTATTTTTAAAAGAATTTCTGTTGGTTTTATTTTATTGGATCTTTTTACCTATGTTTAATCTTAATAGTTAATTGGATCCTCTCTGTATTTTTTTGAATTATTTTTCTAGGTTATACATGTTATATGTTCAACTTTTCATTAAGTTTTCCTACTGATAATTCTACAGGAACTTCATTTGTTGATTGAGAATTTGTTAATGTGCTGAACGTGTACCATCTGCCATCCATTCCATTCGCCATCCATTCCAAACAACTGTTTTAGTTAGTGTGAACTAGCTGTTACAATTTTTTCCTATTTCCCATGAGTCATTTTTGCGTTGAAGGTTTTGGCCACTCCAGCTGGCACCCAATACATGTAATGTACGTCATGGGTTTCCCTCGTTCCATCCCACTTTTTGTGCTTGGCGGAGCTCGTTCTTGACACCAAGACAGCTAGCCAGGGTAAGTCTTTTGCTTGAACCTTGTCATCAATATTTAAGTAGAACTCTTATTTTAATGTGTCTTTGCATCCACTGTTGAGGGCGCTGTGAGGGACATCAGAGCCGATTGAAATTGCCTCAACGTGGTGGAGCTGCTGCACAGGAAATATTGCTTAATTACCAAAGTATTTCCTCAAAAATTACTTTAGAGCCAATCCCAAGCGACAAACGTCAGGTCAGACTTTTGGCTGGTAAAGTGGTACGGGTAATCTGTTTTTTCCAAAAAATAGTTTTGCTACTCCTAGTCCAATAGCACAGTCTGTGCTTAGCAGACCCACGAAAGTTGACTCTGATCTGCTGCCAATTCCATGATTTTATGGATGTAAATTGCTTGTGACTGGTTTCTCTGCTGCTTTTCTGCAATATTTTATTAGCAGATCAAGATTTCCATGTTATATTGTACTCCATTCAGTCGGAGTGTATAATAGTCTGAGCTGATATTGTTTCTAGAACAT